CATTAACACCTCGGTAATAATATGGAACTGGGCTTAGAGGGTTGTGAAAGGCTTATGAAATGTTTTAGCTAACGAGTACTGATGGAAGCAGTGAAAGTAATTATTATACTTCTTCATATGAGCATATTGGTTTAGAGCATTAGTTTTCATTGTATACTACCGACTGCTGAATACACATTCACTACCCAAAAGCTGTTAGTGGGTGGATCGGGTGAATACCTTGTAAATACAGAGTGTATATTTCAAATTTCTAATTTCTAAACATTTCACATTCCAGAGCGAGAAAAACATATAAAATATAAATTTTTAACACAAATGTTCATTTTATTTTGCAATTTAAAAAAAGTAATTAAATGTATAAAATAAAAAGAATCACAAAATAGATAATATAAAACTGTTCATCGAAATTTAGTTGTTACCGAAAACTAATATTGATATAGCACTAGCTTAGGGTCGTACTTTGACCATCATCTCAATTTGTGTTCTTGCAAATAATAGAAATACTTTCTCCTGCCAGCTAAGCGGAAACAGACTGTGAAGAGGATGGAAATTAATTGAAATATAAATATTCAGTGGAGATTTTATCCACTTCAGAGACTTACTGTATTAGACGATATAAGAGGGAGACGAAATCGGGCAAAAAGATTTCACGCTCGTTATTTAGAATACCCTTAACGATGCGACGGGCGGCACTGGCGCCTCTGATGAGAGGATAAAAATCGCTGAAGTTGATCGTATCATTCAATTCGCGGACTTCGTTGTTGGTTTGAAGAAACCAGGGCAAAACCGTTAGCACGTGAATGTTTTGCTGTTTCTCAACGGCCAACTCCAGGCGCAGCGCCCTCATGTGACCTGTGACCCCAAATTTGGTGGCGCAATAAGCGCTGTTATAAGGAAAGGGCAAGATGCCTAAAATCGAAAAAGGAAAGGATTCAATTAAACATATCATATCATATACAGTTAGGTTTATGCTTACTGCTGCAGGAGCTTATGTTGACAATGTGCCCCTTGTTCAGCACCTTCATTTGGGGCAAAAACAGTTTTTTTGTCTAGGTGAAAAAATTGAAAAAATATTATTTTTATATCATATATAAAAGGTGACCAGATAAGAGCAATTTCAATCAAAGGAATATGATTCGATATATTATATTCTTACTAACTTGATTTTAAAGCTAGTTTCATACCAATTTAGAATTAGTGTAATAAAAGTTTTGGTAGAAATTTAAACCATATTATAGTAGAATCCCGAGAATTCGAAATGGCAAGGGGATCCGTTATTCATTATTGAGAACGAACTTTTTTCAAGGGGGTAGAAATTTTTTCGATTTATCGCGATTTTCGATTACGGCTGTATTATCAAATACCAAATCTAGCTAGATTTTTGAATATCTGCCAAAATATACTCATCCCAAATATTATCACTCTTGCTTTGTCAATCTTCACTTTACTTCAAATATCGCTAAGCTCACCCAAAAATGAGATGAAAAGTTGACATCGATCATGTGCTGAATATCCTTGGGATCAGGATCCATGGGATTGTCGAGCAGCAGAATTGCAGCATTATTTATTAATATCGTTACCGGTCCAAGATCTTTCAGTATATTCGATTTCAGCTCACTCAGCTCGCTATAGCTAGCCGCATTCACCTGGAGAGTTGCTAAAATAGTTTCTGATAGCAAAAACAAAGTCTATATTGTGTACCTTATATGCCTTGCTGCGCACCGGGAAAGCCTCATTGATTTGTCGCACTGTTTCTTCAGCGCCCTCCAAATTAATATCAGCTATGGCTATATGACAGCCCTGCTTAGCCAGCTCTAGGGCTATCGCACGTCCAAGTCCATGACCAGCTCCAGTTACCTGATGGATAAATACAATTATTGTAATCATTTATACCCTATACAGGGTAGGCTGCAGACCCCATTGTAGGCATTGGTAATAAATAAAGAGACAGGATACACAGGGTAGAAGATCATAGCTTTCCTGTGTTTATTGTTATACAGAGTATACTATGTAGCTATTAATATATTTACTCCATCAGCTAGATCTAAATCCCTAAAAGCGGTTTAAGTTTCACATACAATAAGAGCTCAGATAAAATTTGCTTCAAATTCATCAATATATTAATATAAATTGAAATCAAAGTTTGACTTTTTCAGGTATTTCAGTCACGTTTCAAGCGCCTGACTCACCAGAGCTCATATACAAATTCTTCTCAAGTCTTAACTTGTATTATAATTTGAAATCCGTATAAATTTTACTTGCAAAGAAAAGAATGAATTAATGATCACAAACATTGTGAGTAATGCGATTTTGAATTATCTCTTCAAAATCACCAGAAAATTGCAGAAAATGACAAATGGTCAATCTGTGCCAAACCCAGGTAAATTTCGAATGTCTGAACTCGAATATCAATATATAAGGTAGAACTAGACGTAGTCCTAGAGGCAACTCGTTATCTCTCGCTAATAAAACAAAGTGCATAGTTGTGTATTATGCATGCGGTGATCTGGCATTGATCTGTGCTCTTCAATGTTGTTGATATTTTGTATTCTTTTTGCCTCGACAGGTGTGTAAGTGGCTTAGAAACAAGTGTTATTCACCTTAGAGTCGACTTATATATTCTAGCGTATATACTGTGAGTCCATTAAAAGTATATATACTATAATATAACCTAACTGAAAGTCGAGTGTCAGACTTTTGAGCCGAGAAATAAATGCACTCTGTAGAGTGCATATGCGTGTCAGTGTCGTGTCGGATCGTCTCGATCTCGAGGGCTATTAATGCTAGAGGAATGAATCTGAACATGTATATTCCCACTTAAAATATATTACTGAATTTATTATTGATCTCAGCCCATTATCTGACTATGGATCAAAACCGAGATACTACTTGAAGAGAGAGAGATCCTTGACCAAACCAATTATAAATGTTTTTAATTTGGTATGCCTTACCCTAGTCAGCCATAATCTCATATGATTCAACTAGTACAGTCTGGAAGTTTACTAACTCAGATATTTCAATGTCAGTTGCATGTACGGAAAGTTGAAAATGGTATATCTAACTATGGAAGCTATGCGAAGAAGAAGAGCAGCCGCGGCATATGAGATCGTGTCACTTATCTATGCAAGAAGTCAGGAACGATTATAATAGTAGCTCTGCATGAAGCTCATGCCATGGGTATATCACAGTCACTCGCATCCGATATAAGCACTATTTTATTATTTGTAATATATTTTTGTCTATAACACTTCGTTTTACACCAATTTAGTTTCACTCTTCACACATACCAACGCCACTTCGCCTTTTATGGATTTCGTAGACATCGATCTCAGGCTGATTTGGCATATCTGGTATATCAATGCAATCAGCAGCAGCAGGGGGCTGGAGAACAGTAGCAGCAACACGGCTAAGAAAGCCCTCAGCCTAATGTGAGTATTTGAGAGCGCCATAACTCGACTGCCAGAGAACTTTTGAGCTCCGAGCCGCAACGCGTTCACTTCACGACTGTTTCGCGTTCTTGAAAGAGTGCTAAACAACACTGAAATTGTGTGTTCTCAAACTGACAAACCCTGATCTCTCAATGCAAACCTGAATATTATTTTCATTTGACGAACTAACTCTAACTGCAATTTTACGGTTGAGTCAAAGTTCGTCTAAAAAGTCCAGATTTAATTTATACTTGAATACGCTGTAGTATTTGAATAACTGGTTTCTAATCAGAGACAAAAATTAAGTAAGAATTTTAATTTTAATCTGATTGCAATGAAATGTGTTTTATTCGAAACGTAAATTTTTAAGTGGGGTGATTCTAGCCTCAGCACACATATGTGCCATTGTTGATTCGGCTAGGATTATACGAATAGATAAATTCAAGTGCTTGAGATGCTGTTGCTGAGCTGAGCAGCAGCTGAGCCTTTCTCCATCATTCTTCTCATATTTCATTACATTGTCATAGTATCGATAAATATAATATGAGGAAGTTTGGTTTTTGGCGAATTGATAGAGTACTATGTAAGCTATATATGTCAAGTACCTTATTGTGGTGAATATAGAGTCTATAAATAATAATTATATTATAGTTACTTTTCTCACTTTTTACCAAAGTGATAAAACATAAATTTGTTTACTAGTATTGGAGTCCCAAGTCTAGAAGAAGTCAACTAGAACTGAAGTTACTTGAAAACAAATTAGCCAAAGTGAGTCAAGACAAACTACTGCCTGTATCTATGTGTATATGTGCAGTATTGAATTCGTATTATTCATAGCTAGCCCTATTCAAAATTTTATGGGCAAGTCGATCGCAATACAAATCAATATCTATTAGATGTTTAGTTTAGTTTTAGTTTCTGTATTGAATACTCGATAAGCCAGTAAAAAGTTCCCACGCAAAATAACAGCAACCAAATTTACGACTTCATCAAATGAGAAAAATATTTACTGGTCAAATCCTAGTCGAGGATCGATCGATAATTGGGAGCGGAAGTCCCTCGTTCATTCACAGCCCTTTCAAATTAAAACAACAAAAAGACAAACAAACTGAAGCGCTGACATTGCCACATTCGGAGTTTTCAATCAGCTGGCCAATGAGGCGTACAGCAAAACACGCCACGGACTCCTCTACGGTAAACATATGTAAATCTCACTGTGTATGTGTGTGTGCGTGTGTGAATATGTATTCATAGTGTGTCACAGGCATATATATGTGCATCATTAACACCTCGGTAATAATATGGAACTGGGCTTAGAGGGTTGTGAAAGGCTTATGAAATGTTTTAGCTAACGAGTACTGATGGAAGCAGTGAAAGTAATTATTATACTTCTTCATATGAGCTACTACCGACTGCTGAATACACATTCACTACCCAAAAGCTGTTAGTCAGTGGATCGGGTGAATACCTTGTAAATACAGAGTGTATATTTCAAATTTCTAATTTCTAAACATTTCACATTCCAAAGCGAGAAAAACATATAAAATATAAATTTTTAACACAAATGTTCATTTTATTTTGCAATGTATAAAAAGTATAAAAAATGTATAAAAAGAAAAGAATCACAAAATAGATAATATAAAACTTTTCATCGAAATTTAGTTGTTACCGAAAACTAATTTTGATATAGCACTAGCTTAGGGTCGTACTTTGACCATCATCTCAATTTTTCTTCTTGCCAATAATAGAAATACTTTCTCCTGACAGCTAAGCGGAAACAGACTGTGAAGAGGATGGAAATTAATTGAAATATAAATATTCAGTGGAGATTTTATCCACTTCAGAGACTTACTGTAGTAGACGATATAAGAGGGAGACGAAATCGGGCAAAAAGATTTCACGCTCGTTATTTAGAATACCCTTAACGATGCGACGGGCGGCACTGTCGCCTCTGATGAGAGGATAAAAATCGCTGAAGTTAATCATTTCATTCAAATCGCAGACTTCTTTGTTGGTTTGAAGAAACCAGGGCAAAACCGTTAGCACGTGGATGTTTTGCTGTTTCTCAAAGGCCAAGTCCAGGCGCAGCGCCCTCATGTGATCTGTGACCCCAAACTTGGTGGAGCAATAAGCGCTGTTATAGGGAAAGGGCAAGATGCCTAAAATCGAAAAAGGAAAGGATTCAATTAAACATATCATATCATATACAGTTAGGTTTATGCTTACTGCTGCAGGAGCTTATGCTGACAATGTGCCCTTTGTTCAGCTCCTTCATTTGGGGCAAAAACAGTTTTTTTGTCTAGGTGAAAAAATTGAAAAAATATTATTTTTATATCATCATATATAAAAGGTGACCAGATAAGAGCAATTTCAATCAAAGGAATATGATTCGATATATTATATTCTTACTAACTTGATTTTAAAGCTAGTTTCATACCAATTTAGAATTAGTGTAATAAAAGTTTTGGTAGAAATTTAAACCATATTATAGTAGAATCCCGAGAATTCGAAATGGCAAAGGGATCCGTTATTCATTATTGAGAACGAACTTTTTTCAAGGGGGTAGAAATTTGTTCGATTTATCGCGATTTTCGATTTAACGGCTGTATTATCAAATACCAAATCTAGCTAGATTTTTGAATATCTGCCAAAATATACTCATCCCAAATATTATCACTCTTGCTTTGTCAATCTTCACTTTACTTCAAATATCGCTAAGCTCACCCAAAAATGAGATGAAAAGTTGACATCGATCATGCGCTGAATATCCTTGGGATCAGGATCCATGGGATTGTCGAGCAGCAGAATTGCAGCATTATTTATTAATATCGTTACCGGTCCAAGATCTTTCAGTATATTCGATTTCAGCTCACTCAGCTCGCTATAGTTAGCCGCATTCACCTGGAGAGTTGCTAAAATAATTTCTGATAGCAAAAACAAAGTCTATATTGTGTACCTTATATGCCTTGCTGCGCACCGGGAAAGCCTCATTGATTTGTCGCCTTGTTTCTTCAGCGCCCTCCAAATTAATATCAGCTATGGCTATATGACAGCCCTGCTTAGCCAGCTCTAGGGCTATCGCACGTCCAAGTCCATGACCAGCTCCAGTTACCTGATGGATAAATACAATTATTGTAATCATTTATACCCTATACAGGGTAGGCTGCAGACCCCATTGTAGGCATTGGTAATAAATAAAGAGACAGGATACACAGGGTAGAAGATCATAGCTTTCCTGTGTTTATTGTTATACAGAGTATACTATGTAGCTATTAATATATTTACTCCATCAGCTAGATCTAAATCCCTAAAAGCGGTTTAAGTTTCACATACAATAAGAGCTCAGATAAAATTAGCTTCAAATTCATCAATATATTAATATAAATTGAAATCAAAGTTTGACTTTTTCAGGTATTTCAGTCACGTTTCAAGCGCCTGACTCACCAGAGCTCATATACAAATTCTTCTCAAGTCTTAACTTGTATTATAATTTGAAATCCGTATAAATTTTACTTGCAAAGAAAAGAATGAATGAATGATCACAAACATTGTGAGTAATGCGATTTTGAATTATCTCTTCAAAATCACCAGAAAATTGCAGAAAATGACAAATGGTCAATTAAAAGTATATATACTATAATATAACCTAACTGAAAGTCGAGTGTCAGACTTTTGAGCCGAGAAATAAATGCACTCTGTAGAGTGCATATGCATGTCAGTTTATGTGTCGCATCGTCTCGATCTCGAGGGCTATTAATGCTAGAGGAATGAATCTGAACATGTATATTCCCACTTAAAATATATTACTGAATTTATTATTGATCTCAGCCCATTATCTGGCTATGGATCAAAACCGAGATACTACTTGAAGAGAGAGAGATCCTTGGCCAAACCAATTATAAATGTTTTTAATTTGGTATGCCTTACCCTAGTCAGCCATAATCTCATATGATTCAACTAGTACAGTCTGGAAGTTTACTAACTCAGATATTTCAATGTCAGTTGCATGTACAGAAAGTTGAAAATGGTATATCTAACTATGGAAGCTATGCGAAGAAGAAGAGCAGCCGCGGCACATGAGATTGTGTCACTTATCTATGCAAGAAGTCAGGAACGATTATAATAGTAGCTCTGCATGAAGCTCATGCCATGGGTATATCACAGTCACTCGCATCCGATATAAGCACTATTTTATTATTTGTAATATATTTTTGTCTATAACACTTCGTTTTACACCAATATAGTTTCACTCTTCACACATACCAACGCCACTTCGCCTTTTATGGATTTCGTAGACATCGATCTCAGGCTGATTTGGCATATCTGGTATATCAATGCAATCAGCAGCAACAGGGGGCTGGAGAACAGCAGCAGCAACACGGCTAAGAAAGCCCTCAGCCTAATCTGAGTATTTGAGAGCGCCATGACTCGACTGCCAGAGAACTTTTGAGCTCCGAGCCGCAACGCGTTTTTATTATATTTAACGAACTTACTCTAACTGCAATTTTACGGTTGAGTCAATTTTCGTCTAAAAAGTCCAGATTTGATTTATACTTGAATACTCTGTAGTCTTTGAATAACTGGTTTCTAATCAGAGACAAAGAGCAAAAATTAAGTAAGAATATTAATTTTTATGTCTGATTGCAATGAAAGATCTTTTATTCGAAACGTAATTAGACTCATTCCCGAAAGTGAAATGAGTATATTTGTTTTGTGCAATGTCCGTCTTGCTGTCCGTCCGTATGAACGCAATCTTTTTCGGCGCTATTAAAGCTAGATACTTGAAATTTGGAACACATATTCGTGTATATCTCCGATTTATAAAGTGTTAAAATTTTCCCGATCCGCCCACTAGGGGCGTAACTAATCGGAAAATGCATTTTCCAATATACCAGAAATCACATTTATTGAAGAGCTAGAAAGCTGAAATTTGGTATGTAGGTCCGCGTCGACCACCCAAGATCACGAGCTATGGCGGATATATCTCCGCCCATTGGGGGCGTGGCAAATCGGACCAAACTGTATCTCCTAAAGGTATAAACCTAGAATGCTGAAATTTTGCACGTAAGCTGATGCTTTAATTCTATAAAGATGGGTGAAAAAATTATATATCTACGCTTACTAGGGGCGTGGCAAATTGGACCTGAAGATATAGTGACTTTTTTAATTCGGCTATATTTTGGACATTATTGATGCTAGAGACCTGAAATTTTGTATATGTACGCGGGTTGACCACGTCCAACGAGCTATGGTAGATATATGTCCGCCCATAGGGGGCGTGGCAAACCGTAAAAGTTTATATCTCCTATAGTTTAAGAGATAGAAATTTGTATAGTTTAATTACTGGTAGCCTCCTCTATCAATGCCCCAAAAAAATCGAAAAACATTTTTATAAAATTAATAAAATATAAAAAAGCTAAAATAACAACAAAATTTGCAATTTACAAAAACGAGTTTTCCGCGGGATTTGAACTCGCACCCAAGCCGAATAGCATCTTCATGTCAAAATATCTAAAGTAGCACATACATACATACATACACACATACAAATGAGCGCGTGTATAAGGCTGGAATGCTTGATGCTATGCGTGCAGACTTACAAATATACATATATACATATGTATGTATTTGCGTATATGTATTCAAGAAGAAACAAATTTAAACTTATAAAATTATTCAGCTAAGAAAAAGAAAAGTATTAAGTGCCATTTAGTCAAGCTCGCACCTTCCCAATAAAATATCTATTTTATAAAAAGCGAAATATGTATGAAAACAAAAACACCGAAGAGGTTCGAACCTTCAGCTAGTTGCTAAAATAGAATAGCTTATTAAGAGAGCGTCATCAGACAAAACTACAGTAACGGCTAGAAAGTCCAGAAATCAATCGAAATTCTAAGAATGTGAGAAAAGGCGCGCTTCTGTATGTACGCATAGAATAGACGATGAGTGTGTGCACATGTATAGGAAAATCGCGCTGATCTGCTGCTATGTAGCTTGAAGCCGGTATCCAATGTATGGATATAAATATATATTATTAAAAGTCAAAATTGTATAAATTATATATGTATGTAATTTGAATGCAATGATGCAATGATCATAGCAATAGCTATCGATGATTTTCCAATTTTAATGGGACTGCAACGTTCTTACTTGTTTTTTAAGTGGGGTAATTCTAGCCTCAGCACACTTATGTGCCATTATTGATTCGGCTAGGATTATACGAATAGATAAATTCAAGTGCTTGAGATGCTGTTGCTGAGCTGAGCTGCTGCTGAGCCTTGCTCCATCATTCGGAACCTGCTGTTCAATCTCAAAATTTATTATCAATAACATGAATGTCTTCTACTCCATTGTAATTAAGGTTGTTTTTAAGAGTATTTGTGATGATGTAGAGGGAGACAAAGAGAGAGCGAGAGCGAGAGAAAGATTTTCAAAATTCCTTTAAGTTTACCGAACATTCTTTGGTACCTCAAAGTCTGGCTTAGCAAGTCAACAAAGACCAAGCGCACCTTCTGCTCAGAGCTCATCTTATATGCTTGATTGGCAAAGTTTCCCACGGCTAGGCAGAGGCTGCCTCAGCAGCTGCTGTGGAAAGTAAAAGTGTTAAGCTGAGTGCTGGTAAAACGTTAATCTTAATTATTTTTTTAACATATTCCATAAGTAACCCAGAAAAAAGCAAGCGTAACGTGGGTGAGGCAATTTCTCAGCGTCGCTGTCAACACCAATTCCTAAGTGCTGCAGCAGGTCACGAGTGGCTGCAGCGTCTAATCAGACAGCGGCTTAGTATCCTGCAGATCCTTTCTCCATAGCGCGAGAGCTCTAGCCTAGAGAGGAATAAAACATATGTTTCAGTTTAGGAAGAAAAAAAATGAAAAAACTGAAATAATCATAAAAAATAAAAAAATAAAGCAAAACCAAAGTAAATAAATTAGCTGTGAGGCAGTTAAAGGCCTAGCAATGGGGGATCAACGACTACGCAATGCTCGTTCACGCATTCAATTATTGGAAATTTCAAATTCCAAAGTTTTTCAAAGCCAGTTTAGTAGGAGTTTCTCTTTAGTTAGCTTTTACATCTCATAAAATCTGCAAGATGAACTTGGAATAAGAATGGAAAATTTTGAATGTTCATTTTATCTAATCGCCATTTCAGTAGAGAAGCTGAACACGAGTATTTATAGTAAATTGCAGGTCTCGATATAAGCGATAATCAAGAGTTTAACTCAAGTAAATATACATACATATATATCAAATGAAATTGACAGTAATAAATTATTATAATAGATCAGAGTACAAGTATATTTAGCTTATAATCTATCAATAATGATATTCAACTCGTTTATATAGAGTAAATGTCATAAACGTTTTCATCTTGACCAATTATATACATAGTAACAATTTTAATTATTATATCTTGTAAATTATATTATTTTACAACTTATTTGCGTCGCTCTCAAGCAAAAAGTCTACATCCGACTATATATTGTATGTAGTATACATACATATATAATATCAACTGCCTCGCTTCAAGTATATTCGAGTTTTAGACATAGACAATCAATAGACTCTTCTCACTTAACGAACGAGTATGTATATAAAACACAGCAACTACTTAGCAACCTGATACAGCAGCACTAGCAGGACGAACAGGACGGACAGAAACGGCAGCTACGTGGTAGCTGCTGAGGGACATGATGATGCTACTGCAAGACACTTGCAGCCACCAGAAGCGATGCAAATGCAATTGTGCATGTGAATGTGATTGTGATTGTGTGAGTGAGCGTTTCGTTTAGGTACAAGGATAATATTTTCTCACGCAACAGGAGCTGCAGAAGGAGCAGGAGTAGCGGCACTTGAACAGACAGTTGAATGTCATAATTTAACAGTTTGAAATGTGTGGCTTGTTGCGAGGATATGTGTTTTGGAAACAGCACAGCTGGCACAGCTCCTGTTCGCGCTGTCTGTTTAGTTAAGGATTCCCTTCAATGTTGTTTCTTTCTCTCGCATTTTTATTTATGTAGAGCACTGAATTTTACAGGAAGGCGTAAATAATGTTTATTATTAACATGGGTTCAGAAAACCCTAAAAACAAAAAACAGAAATTACTCTCCTTTTGATGTTTACATATGGAAATGATTAGCGGGGAAAACTTGGATAGTCCTGCATTGATTGTTTGCTAATAGCTAAGATCAAATTATGAAATGAAATGAAATGCTGAAATACCTTGATATTCAATGATGAAAGCTTTTGATATTCACATTTTCTGATATGATCTTTGTTATACCTTCTTGGCTTTTCCTTACTAGTTTGTATGATGGATAATTTTAGATCAATTTTGACATAATCTGAAAAACTTTAATATCTCCTTCAGTCACTCCGTTTAACTACGCTTACAATTCAATTAAATATATATTTTTCCCAATGGTTTTTTATTAATCTAAAAGAAAAGTCAATGTCAATTCTCCATTTCCATATGACACCTTGCCAGCATATACACAGGGAAAGAAAAAAGTTTGTACTTGAACCGCAGTATGGGGCCAAAAGTCATCTTCATATCGAGTGGCTTGCCTTGCGCCGCTCGCTCCGCCTGCGCCTATTTTTAGTGCGAGTTTTTTAGAGTTTACAAATCGGAGAAATCTTTTTGTATAAGTTCATAAATAGTCCATTTTAAGATGACATTTTGACAAGTGGAAATTAATATTACGAGCGCAACAGGAATGATGAAACCAAAAGGTAAAACTGTACTAGCTGGGAGTTCCAGACTTGGAGATATCCTTTAAAAAAGAATTGAACATTGGAAATTGATTTGTTTAACATTAGGTTAAAGAAATGTATCTAACATAAAAGAAATAATTCATACATTTAAAAATTACTACGAGAACTTCTATACCAATTTTTAATCGATTTTAATAGACAGATTAGATTTTCCTAAATTCATTTCAATACTGTAATCTCTACTACGCCTCCATTTTATAACTTAACAAACACAGCATACCCTATTTGAAAGGGGTATACGCAGTAGTATAAGAATAGATCTAGTCATATACAGTTTAATATAAAATGGTATATATAGTAGATCTTTACATAGTAGATGCAACAATGCATAAATATATAATAGAATCAACAGATGAGCTGCAGTAAAGAAATGTGAATTTTAAATTTATATGTCTTTTTTTTCTTTAATTGGCATATGAATTACAAATACTGAATGCTATAAATAAAAACTAACTAAACAAAATGAAAAATAAATAAAAACAATAATATATATATAAATATGTCAGAATTACAAAATAAAAAAATATAATCTAAAAAATTAATTTAAAAAAAAAAAATTGATAAAAAATAAAGAGTAAAAAAAAAACCCAGCAATAAAAGCTAAAATATGTAAAAAGAAATTTGAATAAGTAAACAGTTTTGTAATATTAACAATTAAAATAGTTTAAAAAAAGTTAGAGTAAAATCAAGAATACAGAAAAAAATACAAATAAATC